TTGAGTCTTGTCAAACAAGGTTTTTCTCAAGTATGAAACATGAAAAACATTATGGGGTTGATTTATATCCATGTATTGTGTCCATACGATATCATGTAGAACGAAGGAATAGTTGGTCACTTATCTTAGGGTCATCATTTGATATGATGTAGAGTTCGACAATGGCTTTGGAAATCACACTTTGTTGGTTATTGAGAGTCTATACAAGCAATTTTAGTTAGCGACTTATCCAAGTGAGAAACTATTGGAGTAAGTTGTTTAAGGTCTTAACTAAATTGATATATTTTTATGAATAAAAGCAAAGTCCTTTTTAGGTTGCCCTTATATCTAGAAATAGCGAAGAGTGATATTAGAAGAGAGAGTAAATGATTTATTAATTTATTATATGATTAATAAATTAATGAGAAATTGATTATAATTAATTTAGAATTAATCAAAATTAATTAGGAATGAATTTTGGGTTAATTGGAATTAATTAAAGGTACAAGGATTAAGCTGCAATTGCTTAAAAGTTGAGAAAATGAGAGATTTTAGAACCTCCTTAGCATGGATGGTTTAGAGAGGCTCTCCAAGGAGTTCTAGAAGCCTCCAAATACATATAAGGAAGCTAATTTGAATAAGGAATAAAATGAATTATTTTAATATTCAAATTAGAGTTTATCCCTTGACACCTGGCAGCTATAAAAGGACCCATATGGTTACAATTTTCGGCCATCTGTCCCTTGTGAAGCCTAGGCCAAAAATTCTAGCTCTCTTCTCTTTCTCTCTCTCTCTCTCTCTCTCTCTCTGTCTAAATCGTCTCTTTAGTTTCTATTGTTTGGGTGTGAGTCATTAGAGGAAACCATAATTTTGATGCTAGCTTTATGAAGCAGATCTGAGGATTCCAAAGTGTTATATACAATTATAACATAAAGGTATTTATTTCATTCTATGAATTTCAATTATACATAAGATTTCAAGTACTATTGATGCTATAATGTGTAAAGACATAGATTCATATGTTGCATATGCCAATAATTAGATTATGTGTTAATTCCCTTGTGCAAATATGTTTAATGTAACCTATAACACCCATCAGTAAATATCACTAATATCATAACAAAATAGGTTAATATGATTAATACAACACTAATCATTCCTCATATAGTTTGTATTGAGACAAAACTTCTTCAAAGTGTAAAAATTTCATTGTTTACTACTGCTTCGCTCATTTTATAGGCAGAGATAATTGCTAGACGACTTTTAGTCGGTTGGGTAGCGCCTAAGGACTAATTTGAAATTAATCAGGACATAGTCGGGATCTTACAACACTGAATATGAGTAAAACTTTCATCTAATTGGAAGATGGAGGCGGCAAGCCTCACTTTTAGACGGAGCCGATCAATCCTGCTCGACTTATGAAGTTACTGCTCATAAAAATTAATAGTATATATAGTGACTTACCTCAGCCCAATCTTCAGCATAGTTAATCTGGCCACATAAAAAGAAATTCATACATAATTTCTTAATTGTATGAGAGATATAGACTAATAGACTAATAGACTAATATCAAATATTATTTTCAAATTCGTACATGATTTTTTTCGAAAGCCCAATTTATATATGAAACAAACGGCATGGCCCATATCAATATAATCTACAATTTCATGAAAACTATATTGCACATTATTATTTATTATTAAAATGTTTCACCCTCAATTATTTTTATTTCTCATGGCGTTGAAGTCTATTTTAATAAAATGCAGATTTTATATTTTATTTTTCAAATTTATACAAGTTGTTTTTGAGATGAAACATGTAATTATGTTTCATTTTGAAACCGATGGCGAAAGCGGATGCTTCTCCAATGTTCATTGATGATGTATATAACCACAAAGAATCATTTCGAGGTGGATGAAACCTTTCGATGTGAGGATGAAATCCTGTAAACCCTGATCAAATCCTGTCTCTATTCGTTTTTCAAATTGGTCCATTAAATCGATTAACATCTCATCTTTAGCTTCATGCGGTATACGCAACATTTGCGTTAGGGCTTCAAAAAAACCCTCGATCGAGATAGGGGTAGACGAAAAGAATATGTGTAAGTAGAAGATAATGAGAAGATAAACCAAATCAGTGAAGACATACAGGGAGAGAAGACATACACAATTAGGGAATGAGCAAACCTGAACAACGTCAAACCTAAGCCGAAAGCCAACCATCCTTAGTCGGCTCCATGTGGCACTGTTCATAAGCAACACGGAGATTAATATTATATAATATTTTTAATCAGTCGAGATCAACTTGTATAAATTAATAAAAAAATATTATTGTATAAACTGATAAAATACACTATTATATGTATATCTTTTAAAAATGTAAAAACGAAGCAAATTTTTAAAAGCTTGTTATAAGTAAAAGGACAATTTAATATGTAATGATATATAAGCTTTATACAACAAATTAAAACCAGGATTATGATTATAAATATATAGTTTGGATGAGTTTATATACATTTTAAAATACTGTTCAATTCATATTTCTTAACATAAACCATGTTGAGATTACAATTTATCTGTATATGTTATACTTTTCCTCTAACAAACTTTAATTCTCTTTTCATTGCTTTTAAGAATAAGAGTTGATATTGGAGTCGGCTAACACTTGCTTTAATTGTCCACTAGAAAAAGAATCTATATAGAGTCGTATATACCCGTTTTAATATTAGAATAAGTTTTGGTTGATAGTTATAGTTAGTAGCTGAAAATTGAAACATGTAATTAGGGATGGGCGGTTGGATTCGGAATGTTATTTGGTTCGGAACCGACCAAACCGTACCGGATCCGAATAAACCTAATACCGGACAAATTAAACCAATACGGGTACATTCGGTTCGGGTATTAATCAGTCTCGTTCGATTAATACCCGAATAAACCGAATAGCATTTACAATATGATGAAGATCCGAATAAAACCGAAAAGAACCGAATAAAGTAAATGTTAGTTTAAAAAAAACAACTTTAACACCCTTTGTTTAGGAGCATGTATCCTATTGAATATATAATCAAAAAGAGCATGTAAACTATGTACACATTAGTTTAAATTGTGAACTACAATCTAGAAAAAAATCGGACAAATAACGAAGATACTAGGACAATTCAAAATTTGCCATAAAATTCTGCAAACATGCCCAAACAGAAAACCGAGCTTCAATACCCCCTGTTTAGGGGGTTTGTATCTCATTGAATATATAACAAAAAATAGCATATAAATTGTATATACATTGTTAAATTGTGACTACAAGCTCAAAAAAATCAGACAAATCAGACAAATAACGAAGACACTATGACAGTTCAAAGTTGCTATAAAATTCTGCAAACATGCTGATTTTTTTCTTTTAAAAAAAACAATGTATAGCTTATTCGGGTTGGTTCGTTTAGAACCGATCAAACAGTTATTCGGGTAATCTGGAACAAAATACGCAAGAACCGAATAAGCCTAAAACACATAATGTAAGTTTTATTTATATATAAGTGTTTTGATAAAATCATGTAAATTTTAAAACTATTAAATTATATAAAATGGTATCCAAATCAATGCTCAAAATGAAACATAATGGCGTGTTCGGCAAAACTAGCTGGTAGCGGGTAACGGTTAGTGGGTAGCTGGTAGCGGGTAGCGTTTGATTTTGGAGCGTTTTGTTGAAAGCTACTCCATGTAGCTTTTGATTTTGGAGCGTTTTGTTTAGGTTAAAAACTAAACGCTCCTGTCGCCGAACGAGGCTTTTTCTTTTTTACTAGCGTTTTCTTAAAAGCTAGAAGCCAGAAGCTCCCAAAGGCTGCATGCCGAACACGCCCAAAAAGTTGAGTTAAAAACTTTTTAAAGTTTTAAATAGCTTTTGAATTACAAGCATCTTGTTTTAAAATAAAATTTAAAATTTGTGTCCCAAAATTTTGTTCTTCAGTTCAATTTAAGAAATGGTGCTACTATATGAACATCTCTCACATAAATCGTCACATCATGGGGGGGGGGGGGTACACAAACACTATTACACTCACATTGAGGGTACACAAAACAATTGGAGGGGTACGTATAGAATTCCCCTTTAATAAATAGTAATAACTAAAAGTCTAAAACCTTCTAAAAGTGCTTCACCAAATATGTCGTCCTTAATGTTTTTTAGTGTCCACTAATCAATTTTAGCGTTACTGTTTTCTAGAAAAGTATATTATCAGTTTTTATTTGAAAATATGATGTTAATATTTAAATCTAAAGATTTTTTTTGAATTACAAAATATTTTACTTATCATCGTACAATGAGTGAGATGACAAACAGACAACAAACTATGCCGCTAAACCTTTTTGTATGATAAAACCAATTCTTTTGAATACTACATCAATAGATCTAGGGATATAACATTGTTATGCATGATCCATTGTACTCTATTAATAAGATCAACCGCATCCGACACGAGAAAACCAAACGTATCAAATGCAAATGGTATGAACACATGTTGATTTTCTATGCACGATTTCTCATGTTTGGTGACCTTGTTTGTAACAGCTTTTAAAGTAGTCTGTCCCGCCGTGAAACCCCCATCCCTCAAGCCCATGAGAGGGGATACCCCTGTAAGGTCCACACATGCGTGTTTCCTTCCAACCCATCCAAAAATCAAAACGTCAGCCGGTCTAAGGGTTGACTTTCTTTCTGCTGGGCCAGTCAAGAAATTCACAAGAGCCTCTTTCTTGGCGGAAACCCCGACACGATATGGTTAGGGATGTTTTGTTTGACATATTTAAGCGTTTATTTGTCGTTAATACATGAATGATCTATGTGTTATGAGATTGTTTGCATGTTTAATATTTCAATCATATGAAATCAACTTCCTATGATCATCTTACATTAATTTGAACAAGAAATACGAGATCGTAAAAATCGACTTCTGGTCACCATCTGGAAAGCATCCCATAATGTATTTTAATGTGTTTTCTGGTGCAAACCAGAAAGGGTGAGCGGCGAAGATGGCAAGGCTTCCGGCCAAACCCATCGTCAAGTGGTTCTCCGTCAAACCCATATTGTCAAAGGCTTTCGGTCAAATCCACTATCTTGTTTGAGGATATATGAAAGTTTGGTGATGGTGGAAATCCGGATTCCTTATGGATCGGCATGTTCACTTTCCGAATTGATATTTCCACCTTATGTCTGGTTTACAGGAAATTCAGTCTAGGATAATCCAAAGGGACACTTGTGTATCTAGGCACAGAAACACAAGCCAAATCGCAAAGAGTTCCGAGTTTCGTTTAGAAAAAGAAGAGTTGTCAAAAGGGTCTTTATACGACTCAAAAGAGGAGCAGTATAAATACATGATAAATTATTGTTGATCTTCTAAATTAGTTATACAAATTTCGAAACTAATGGCATAATCAATGGTTACCAAAATTGACAAGATTTGTCAATCTTACTATAATCATCCACTAGAATTCGGATTTTTTATAAAGAAACAAATTCAAATTTCCGAAGACTTTTTGGAAGATGCCCCTAGGACCCTACAAGGGGGTGCGGCCCCTTGACCATCGCTTTTTTGTTGTACCAACTTATAATTCAATCTTATATATGCATGCACTCTGCATTCACCAAATATATAATACATAGTACAAATGATAAACCACTTAGCTCACATCTCAGTTCCAATTACACAAATATCAAATGACACTAAAATCACCAACAGATCTCAAACCATTTCATTTCTCTTCTAAGTTCTAATAGACTCTCGACACCGAATGACTAACCACATAAAAAATTAAACCATAAAAACAACTATATAATAATTTTATAGTTATCCTCACAATGATATATTTGAACCACAAAACCAAACATGATATTTTGTAAACCTTCTTATCATTGATGTTTGATGATTTACTCCTAACTTGATAATCCCATAGATGAGATATAAAACCGACATGGTTTACTTTAAAATTTTCATTTAATAATATTTAATACATTATAAGATCCGCAGGGTGGGGGAGTATGCTATAAAAAACGACATTCACTGCCCTTCCACACTCCCATAGTCTCATCCAACCAAAAGGAATCCCACCTCAGGCTCAACTGTTCTTCCCCTTCTTCCTCTATATTTTCAACTCCTTCCATTACCACAATCTCAATCTTTATACCATAGGAAAACGAACCCTCTTTCAAAATCTGCTTCCTTTCTCACTATTTTTTTTATAATCTTTCTGTTCATCTTTCTTTAATCGGTTTCTGGCTTCACGTCGGCGAGTTTTGGCTGTGATGGGTGTGAGCACCAGGTGTTCCCATACCTCCCATATCACCGAGATCATCATCACCAGCTTCTTCCGCCACAAGATTTAAACAAAACCCTTCTACAGAATTCGATAATATCAAGTTTTTTATTAACCCAAGATTAAAAGAAAATCGGACCAGGTATCTGATTTTGAAATCCCACAAAAATTTATGGTTGATTGAGTGGTAATTCCTAAGTTCTAGTGGGTGTTCTTTTGGTGTTGAAGCCATGGCAGCTCGAAGCTATCTCTACGGTGGTGCTTCCGGTGGTGAAGCTGAAAGTGGTGGCTCTGTTCTGCTGACAAACAAAAGGGTTCATTGTTCTTCTTCTCTTAACCCTGTTGATTCCTTCTTCGTCTCCCGGTCGTCTCCTTTCCAGGGTAAGATAATTATATCCATGTTGACTTTTTTTATATTGACTTCATTCATGTTGCCTACTTGCAGATCCAATTGTGTGTTGGAAATTATAATTGATAAGGTGTTTGATTGTTTCATGGGGATTTTTTGTGTCCCACTTCTCAAAGTTCTTATCTTCATGATATTTCCACGCCACAATTGAATTCCGTGTTGATTAATCATTTCTATTTGACCTTTTCGTACAATTAATCTGTCTATGACCTGATCAGATGCTCTATGTACCCTATTTTTCAAAAGATTAATGTTTGTTTGCTCTTCTATTGACAAAAATCGACAAAATTTTCGTGTCCCAAGATGAATTAAATGTGGTTCGACTTGCAAGAAGCAAAAATCTTGAATCTTGATGGTTGACTTTTGTGATCAGTATTTAATTTGACCATTAGCTTTGTCGATTTTTCCTGATCTTCATATATAAATGCAAAAAAAAAAAAAAAAAAAAAAATAATAATAATAATAAAATCATGATTTAGATAAATTGGATTTCTAGATTAGAAAGTATCCGACGATATAAAAATCTTGGAAGGTTTCTATCGATCATATTATCGATGTTTCCTTTCAGGTTCTCGATCAATGGTTAGCTTTGAAGATAGAGGGAATGGATCCGGTGGGCAATTTTTTCAGTCATTTGATCATGAAGACAATGGAGATGATGAATACGATGAATACTTTCAGCAGCCTGAGAAGAAAAGACGGCTCACGGTTGACCAAGTACGGTTCTTGGAGAAAAGTTTTGAATTAGATAACAAACTGGAGCCAGACCGAAAGATTCAGCTAGCCAAAGAACTCGGTTTGCAGCCCAGGCAGGTTGCCATCTGGTTTCAAAACCGACGCGCACGTTGGAAGACTAAACAACTAGAGAAAGACTACGATGATTTGCAGGAAAGCTACAATAAACTCAAAGCCAACTATGAGAATCTTGTTAAAGAGAAGGAAAAACTAAAATCCAAGGTAATAAACCAAAACATCAATTACATAATTCTAGCCACTAGGGCGTAGTGTATGTAGTACAAATGGTTCTGCAAAAGTTTCAATTTCAATGTGGATTAGCAGGACCAGTGTTTCAGATTTACATCTCACATGATACTTACATACTCAGGGTTGCTGGTAGAAAAACATTTTTTTTGGCAGAAACATCATTTACATGATTTCTGGAGTTCATGCAAAAAGATTACTTTTCTAGCGGCCCTAAGCTTGCCCACATTGTCATATCCCAAAAACATGATCATGTGAGATGTAAATGAGACACACAATTAGTTGGCAAAAGAATGCAATGCGCACAAGGTGCTAAATCCACATTGGAATTGAAACTGTCATATTGATTCTTCAAGTATACCACCCAGAACCGAACTAACCACTCAATTACATGATTTTGATCATTTTTATTCTAAACCCTAGTCGAATTTTGTTTATAGGTCGGTGAATTAAGTGATAAGCTGATGATTCAAGAGAAAGGAACCTCGGATGCATCGAGTACTAAAAGCCCTTGTGAGCCACAACTGTGTGAACCGGTACTTGAGGAAAATTTATCGAAGAACATGAACCCGACATGCGAGCCCGAAGGGGATTTAAACGTGGTGTTTGAAAGAGGCGATTCATCTTACGTATTTGAACAAGAACAAAGTGACGGGTCGTTGGATGAAGAAAATGATAACTTTGGGAAGATGTTTCTACCATCAATGGACTGTTACACATCGCCAAAGATCGAGAATGTGGACCCACATGCGGCGAACTCTTATTATCTTGGGCTTGCCGGAGATGATCAAGCATTTGGTTTTTGGTCTTACTGAATCAACTCCGTGGGGGCATAACTCGGTTGTTATTGAGGTTCCAGTAACTCTGGAAGGGAAATAATGGCCTGAATCCAGGAGGATTGGTGTTGGTTTATTTTTTGTCTGTTGTCTTCTATATTTTTAAAGTTTGTGTTGTCTGGTTTTACCTTTTATAAATAAGTGCCAAATGTTTTTGCATTTTCATTGTAAGTAAATTGCTTCATACTAATATTATTTGTAAACAATGTTACTAAAGTCAACTTTTTTGGAAAACGGTATATGAAGAATCTGTATTTTCTTAGATTGGAGGGAGTGGTGCCACAAAAGTTGCACTCCCTTCGTTGTCACGTAGGTGTTAACTCACTCTTAACCACAAAAATGTGGTTTCATACCACACCCAAGGAATGGTGCCACACTCCTTTAATTATTTTTATTTTTAAATAAATACAATTTTTAGTTTTAATTAAAAACAAAAGATTTCATTAATTAAAAATAAGAACCATTACATTACTTAAAAAAAACATGACATTAAAAAAAATCCTAGGAAATTAGAAAATAAAAAACTAGAAAGCTTAAACCTACAACTTAAAAACACACACACACACACAACAAATAATTAAAAACTTGGAAAACAACTACAAATTAACCATGATTAGCGTAACGTTTTTTCATGTCTTCCTTCATTTACAAAACAACTTGAAGCGTATCCCCGGTCAAATTCGACGTGTCCATCGATAGCACTCTTAGGTCGCTGTCCCTTTGTTTCCGACTCTCTCTATCCGAAGCAAGTTGCAAAAAATTTATCCATTCTATCTTTTATGCATTGCACATTCTCGCCCATTTCTTTAAAGTCATCCGATTCCGATGATTTGCCCTTGCCTTTGTTTTTTGTTTTGTCTCTTCCCATTGGTCGCGGGGGGGGGGGGGGGGGGGGTGACACTTGAACGAGATCATCCTCGTTGAGGTCGAAACCAACACGAGCATCCGATGAAGTGTGTCGGATTCAGAAGTTCTTGACCGTTTTGATCCACTATCGATGTGTTCGTTGCTTGTTTTTAGATTTTGCCATTTTTTGTTGCCTTTGAGTAGATTCCAAACTTCAAAAAACTTGAAAGTCTTCTTTTGCTCTTTTTGATAAATGTTAAAAGCTTTCTCCAAAATCACTTCGTCACTTTCGTCGCTTTTCCATTGCCATTTCATGTTGTTATATAAATCGTTAAACAACATGACGTATTTGTTCATCTTTCCCCATTTTGAGTACACTTGACGTTTAGTACGATATGGTTCTAGCCTTCTAGGTTCATTCCTTTGTGGAATCTAGCTCTAACGCGCATCCAAAAACGATCATGTTTTTGGTTCCCTCCCGTCTTTGCGTCCTCTGAAACGTCAATCCATGATTGTGCTAATACTAACACTTCTTAAGGTTCCCACGGTTTAGATTATGCCTTCTCTTTTCATTCATTTCATGGTTGAGAAGGTTGAGTTTGTGGAACAAATTCTGGTTCGGATTCGGAAATGGATATTTGTGGTTGTGGTTGTGATTGTGTTTGTGGAGCAAACTCTGGTTGAGAATCAAAATCAAAATGATCAAAATTTGGGTCAAATTGTGGTTGTGTTTGTGGAAATGGTTGCATAGGGCGTTGTGGTTGTTGGATATGTTGCGGAAAATAGGGAAGCATACCCCCGTAGTTGTAGAAAGGAGGCGAATAAAATGGTTGATCGAGTGGAGGTCTTGGAGTTGTGGTTTTTCTAGTGGGTGTTTTTTGGTTGGTTGGATTTTTGGAGGATGACATTTTTGTGGGTTTTAAAATAGAGAAGATGGTAAAAAATAAAATGTTTGTGAGTGTTTTTGGTTAATTTAATAAGGTATTTATAGTGTTAGTAAAAAAAAATTGAAAATTGACCGTTTGCAAACGGTAACCACAAGTGACCAATCAAAAGCAAGAAAGAAACGCTCCCTCCGAAGGCCGTAGTGCGGCCTCAGCCGCACCTGGACCACACCCAGGGGCGGTGTTTGCGCTTATGTGGCAAGGGGAGTGCGGCCTAAGCCACGCCCACTCCGCCTGGTCTTAGTTATTTGAGTTGCCTATCAGTGGGTAATCGATCAAAAATGGATGATGAGTACCGAGATTCGTGAAGTAGCCTGAGGCTGGTTCCACCCTAAACAGTCTCGGGTTGGGACTTGACTTTGTAGGAGAGTGGAAATGACTAAGAACCAACGCCAAAAGTATTAGGGTTTTGGGTACCTCCATTATGTGTGACGTGTGTGTGTGTGTGTATATATATATATATATATATATATATATATATATATATATATATATATATAAGTTATGGAAGTTGGAACGGTAAGTACCTTGTATGTCAAGATTAGGACTCTTGACAACATATGTGTTGTAATAAAATAGGATAATGATCATTGGCTCATCGGCTATACCCTTTACCATATTGGGATATGGAGTCAGCTTGCATGTGGCTGCCAAACATCCCTAACACCTTTTGCATCCCTTTCACCCTTTGCACCTAGTAGTCCTGACATACCCAGAGGAAGTGGTAACTCATTACCCCCTAAAGTCTACTGTAAATGATGTGTCTAGAAAATTTAGTACGAACTTAATTATTACCTAGAGAAAATTATGGATACCTATAACTATATTAATGTCACACATAGGGTGCAATTCGTTCACGCACTTGGAGTTTGGCATGAAGCTCGCTGAAAGCTTATGTGTGAAAGGTATAATTTGTCTTAAGACGATGACCTCCCCAATTACATGCTTGGGTGTGCTGAGGAGGTTGACCCTGACTTTGATCATTTTACTGTGAACTTGTCTAGGATAAACAGATCGAACCTAGAAAAATTTAAGACTAAATGCCCCTATCGAGGCGATCTATGAGGACTGGTCACCTATTTGCGACTTGTCTTGTTGCTAGCAATATGTAGAGTGATTTCTTGCATGGGTTTACCCTATAATAAAAAAGTTTCATTTGTTTACTTTGTAAAGTTGTACATTTAAATTCTTTGATGAAACTTCACATGATGGTGAAGGCGAAGTGAAAAATGTCACAAAGGCAAACAAGCATTGTGTATGTAGGTAATTCCTTATAAGTTCCAACTCCCTCATGTCATTAAGAGTGTTTCCTAGGTATTATAGGAATATCCTAGGGAGACCTTGATGGTTTTCTAGGTTATAAAACAACATATTTACGTAGCAGAAACATAAAACTATTATATGAGCACATGCAACCTAGAGATCTTTGACCTTTCTCATTATAGCAACATACTATGAAAACTAAGAACTAGTCTAGTTATAATCGAAATTTTACATAGATTAGGATACATACCTTTGCAATAATCGAATATTGAAACCCTTTGATCTTCAAGTCTTCTTTGGAAAGCTAACACCAATAATGTGGATGCCTCTAATGGTTCACACCCAATACACTAAAAACCCTAGGAATGATTTGGAAAGAGAGGAGATGAGGATTTTCATAATTCTCTTTGTGAGTATGCTAGAGCCGAAAATTCTAACGGTTAAGGTCTCTATTTATAGTTGGTGGATCTTCAGATTAAACCCTAAGTGGAATGTTATCAAGAGGCTTCCAGAACCCTTCTAGAACCTCTCCAAAACTGTACATCCTAAGAAGGTTCTATAATTGCCTCTCTTGTTTGATTATTAAAAAATTACAATTCAACTCTTGTACCTTTAATTAATTCTAATTAATTCAAAATTAATTTCCAGTTAATTATGATACATACATACATACATACGTATATATATATATATATATATATATATATATATATATATATATATATTAATTCTTATGACCTTAGGAAACAGTATACTATGGTGTTTCTGAATTTTGTCACCATATTTTCGTAAATTGACGCTTCTGGCCCTTGTCTTTTAACAGATTAGTCCCTCAGATGCTTTGGATATCCGTATTGCCCCCTGCACCGCCTCTTTCATCCAATGAGCTGCACCACCGCCTCCCTCAATTAGTACACTACTTCCAATGTTCCCTAAACCCACCCAATAACCGATCGACAATCGAAAATTGGTTGTTCGTTCTTTATCTTTCTGCAAATTTCCATCTTTTTCCAATCGGATATAGTTCACATACACCGCCTTCTTTTTTCTTCTTTCTTCATTGTTCCGAACCATATAACTACTCGATAGAAAAAGAGAAGGCCAGCTTGATAGGTTAGGAATGTTTGTTGGTTGAGGAACCACTCTTTTCGTCGGAGTACACCGCCTTCGTTACCATTTTCTCCATAATTGTAACTAATACCTTCTACTAACAACAAAATTCCTTACAAGTGCGAATACCAGCACCGATTTCTTCTTTATGTTGGAACAGAGCCTGAGCTAGGGTTTGATTTCAAATTTCGACAAAGCTACATCTTCATTTGGGTATGATTTTGTTTGCATTTGGGTTTACTTTATACTTCCATGTTCATCTGCTTCTTTATTTATGGGATGGATTTGAAAGAAGGATTATGGGGAGATGATTAATAGTGGTCTTCAAGAGAAGGTTTTTTTTTCTTTTGCACACAACTGGAGGAGTGATTGAGCTGATTGATTCTTTTCTTTCTGAAGCAATATCTGATGATTGATTGTGATGGAGATGGTGAGGCCGGTGGCAAACTTGAAGCAAATCGAGTAGATTTAGCGCTTGCCACCTTATCGACGCCAACTTCCAAGTATGCTCTCTTTACTCTATTTTGTCCCCTCACTCCTCTCTTATCTCTTTCTTCCCCTCTGTTTCTGTTGTTTGTAACACGATCTCCTACCTAACGTTCTAGAACCTAAGATCACCGCTGCTCCGAATTAGATTGAATTATTCTTCATCAGTAAAGAATCAACTCATTTCATCTGAATCCGCTGCACGATTTGGTGTGAGTTACTCATATATGGTTACGATTTCCTTCGCTTCTCACTTATGCATTTGAAATTTCAACAATTCAATTTAGAGTTCTTTTTCTGGCGATATGGTGTGAGTTTTTATTTTTTATTTTTAAGTACTTGAACGAATCCAGTAACATATTCAACATATGTGTAATATGATCTTCACAAATTTTGTACAATTATGTTTTAATGAAATATCAGTGTTATCGGATCTTTACAAGTTTTGTATAGCTCTGTTTTAATCCTGCTAGTGTAAAGATGTTAAGCTATTTCAAACTAATTTATATGTCGTATTGTTCTGATTCATAAAATGAAAGACGTACTTTTGACACACATACA